ATAAGTAAAATAAAAATTTTTAATTTTCTTACCCCTGATTGATCTAACAAATCACAGATTTCATAACCTAGATAAAATGAACCAAAACTTGAAAAACAATCTGCAAAAAGTATGTAAGAAGAAAAAGACAGTGTGAATAGGCCTAGATCTATTAAATAAATTGAATCAATAATTAACAACATTCTAAAACAGAAAGCACCAGGCCCAAATTGGTTCAGTGGTGAATACTACCATATTTTTTTTAATTATGCCAATTTTCTGTAACTTTTGTAGAAATCAGAATCAAGAGGAAGTAATTCCTAACTCATTCTGAGGTCAGCATTATCCTAATACCAAAACCACACAAAGACAACACAAGAAAACTACTGACTAGTATTTATCATGAACACAGATACAAAATCATCCAGAAACAATTCAGAAATCAAATCTAACAATGTATAAAAAGAAATATACACCATGACTAAGTGGGATTTATCTCTGAAATGCAAGGCTGGTTCAACATCTGAAAATCAAAAGGCTAAAGAAAAATTGCATAATCATATCAATAGATTTTTCTGCATCTATTGATAGATGTGCTTGACAAAATCCAAAACCCATTCATGATAAAAGGTCTCAGTGAACTAGAATATAGAGTAACTGGGCTGGGCGCGGTGGCTCAAGCCTGTAATCCCAGCACTTTGGGAGGCCGAGGCGGGTGGATCACGAGGTCAAGAGATCAAGACCATCCTGGTCAACATGGTGAAACCCCGTCTCTACTAAAAATACAAAAAATTAGCTGGGCACGGTGGCACATGCCTGTAATCCCAGCTACTCGGGAGGCTGAGGCAGGAGAATTGCCTGAACCCAGGAGGTGGAGGTTGCGGTGAGCCGAGATTGCGCCATTGCACTCTGGCCTGGGTAACAAGAGCGAAACTCCATCTCAAAAACAACAAAAAATAAAACAAAAAAAGAATATAGAGTAACTTCCTCAACTAGATCAAAAACTATAGAAACATATAGATAACATCGTATTTAATGGTGAGAAACTCAAAGCTTTCCCACTAAAATCAGAAACAAGGGCAAAAATGTCCCCTCACCACTCCTTTTCAATATCGTACTGGATGTCCTAGTTGAGCAGTCCCCAACCTTTTTGGCACCAGGGACCAGTTTCAGGGAAGATAATTTTTCCACGAATTGGGTAGGAGATGGTTTCAGCATGATTAAAGCACTTTACATTT